GAAGAAGAAGAAGAACCGCAAACACAAAGCACAGCAATTACCTCGTGACAATGTTGACAAAGTTCATTTGGCAGCAGTGTGACACTGAACGACTCATCTCGCACTGAAACACCAGGGGGCGTTACTTCAAGAGAAACTTGATGAAGCTAGCATCACTGATACGCAGTATCTCATGACTCCAAACTACCTCTGACTGAACACAAGCAGCTCCTCAACGCTGCTTCTCATTACACACACACACACACTCATACATCTCTTTGCCACAGCGTGGCGCTGTGGCGACCATAAACTGTTGACACGACTGAATACTGTACACAGAACAAAGGTCGTGTCTGTCGCTCTTGTCAGTGAAGTGACATCATCGTGTTGGAAGATTCAGTCAGTTGACGTCTGTCAGTCGGACATGATGGAGGCCGCGGTGACTAGAACAGCTGCGCTTTGAAAAAAAAATAAAATCAAGATGTGTTTTCCCAAAGTAGTACTATGGTAAAGTACACGAACTATTACAGTACAGTACAAGTTGTGGTACAAACCAGCATATGAATAAATACTTGTGTATTGAGTGACACAGTACTTTGAAGATACCATCAATAGGTCTGTGAGAACGTGCGGCGGTAAACTAGCTAGTTAGCATTAGCAGGTAATGTAGTACTTTAATGCAGGAAACGACTAGCCTCAGCATTTTTTAATTTTGAATTATAATTTCCTCGGAAAAGAGCGTTAGCGCAAAGAGGCTAACTTACAACCAAAGGCTAATTTACCTACGCTTGTCTCTAAGCTCATTATTTGCTAAATATTAGCATCAGAAACGTTACCTCTGCACTAGTTAACATGTAGTACTTATTCATTACTTTTTCTTTTTTCAAGCTTCAGACGTAGCTTTAGCATCGGCCTCCACCATTGGCCTCCACCATCGGCCTCCACCATCGCCTGCTGACTCAACTGACTTCATCTTCGCTGTCGTCGCTCACTTTTTTGATTGAGGCTAAATTGAAATTGAAATATTAGCATCGGAAACGCTACCTCTGTACTGGTTAACATCTAGTATTTATTCATTACTTTTTATTTTTTTTAAGCTGCAGACGTAGCTTTACCATTGGCCTCCACCATGGCCTGCTGACTCAACTGACTACATCTTCGCTGTCGTCGCTCACTTTTTTTTTTTTTACAAATGCTAAAAACACAAACTCGTACTGTTGTTTCCTCGTACCTGTCACTCACCTCAAGGCAACTTTTTCTCTGAAAATTGTGTTGAAACAAGCTTTGTATCAAGTTGTGAACTGGGACCTCCGTGTGACAAAGTGTGAACTTGAATTTATGTTGTACTGACTTCACGTGATCGGAGCAACGCGATCGCGATATCAGCTACGATTATCTCTGCTCCTGTGGTTGGGCTGCGATGTTTTATTGTTTACTACCTAAATGTACCGCATGAACAGTACCTCAAATCGACTGCTAACGACTGACCGACCGACCGACCGCCGGGTTGTCCAGTCCCTACCTCCAGTTTGAGAAGGAACAACTTCTCCGGTTTTCTCTCAGTGTGAGTTCTGTTGGCGTGTCATGTGACCTCTGTCGGGACGATCGGAGCTCCTGATGGGTTTTTTTTTTTCGGACATTTTTCCACTTTTCAGCGTCAGTACGTTTTAAGTGACCTTCGCGTTTTTTTTTTTGTTTTTTTTTTCTCGGAGCAGACATGTTTGGACTTTGTTTATGTCATTTTAAATATGTTTTCTTGTTTTTAAGTAGTATACTTATCGATATACTTGATTAGCTGTCTCGTGTACTTCACTTCATACAATGTGATTATATTTGTCTTTTCTTCTTCATCCTGTCACTTCACACCTATTAGAGTGAACCTGTTTTTGTTTTTTTGTTTGTTTTGTTTTTTTCAAACGTTGGCCAGCAGTAGAACCTCCATCAGCTACAGAACATCAACTCCTTCATCCGTGATTATCTGACTCAAAATAATCCCATTCAACCAGTTTAATCCCAGATTTACCTTTTCATCTCCTAACAGAGGTGCAGACAGGAAGTGGACCAGGCCTGGTCATGTGACCGCTTCAAAACAAATGGCATTGAATCGGTTCCTGTTCCTGTTTTTATCTCCTGTTGAGTTGTTGATTACGATGTCAATCACTAGGGGGGTGTATTGGGCAGAATCTGGCGATACGATACGTAACAGGATACGGGCGCAGTGACACGGTTTCAGCTCTGGGGGTCTCAGTGACTCATCACTTCCTCTGCACGACGCGTGTTCTGTTTTAAGTACAATCAAATACACACTACTACCTCCAGAAAAGTTCGACTTTTACCTCATCCTCAAACTGAAATACTGTTAACGTTCAGGTGTCTGAGAGCTTTGGGAGAAACAGCTTAAATTTTTATATACATATACTTTATTTTTGTGGGATGCTTTTTATATATATTATTTTTTTAATCTCTGCTCCTCAGTCGCCGTTTGGAATGACTGGACATTTACACTTTTTTTTTTTAAAGACATTTTCTCACTTTATGCAATGTAAAGTAGTTAGCTGTGAGGTTGAGTGGAGACGTTGACCTCCCCCCCCTCCCTCCCTCCCCCATCCTCCCCTGCCTTCTTCTTTGTGTATTGTCTAACTCTAATTGTTTCCTGTATTCACCTGATACTACCGTCTGTGACGTCACTACAGATTTAGCTGGTTATAGATATTCACTGTGTTTTTATTCGGCACAATAAAATGTACGGCATCCATAAAACTGACGTCTCCTACTTTTTCGCCATTTCTTTATTTAAAGTCGGACTTTCTGATCAGTCTCATCTGTAGGTTCAGGTTCAGGTAAAGTAGACCGGGATCTCAACCTCCGGTCCGGGGACCAGTACCAGTCCGTAGGTCATTTGGTACCGGGTCACACTGTACTTCAGTTTTACTAATTTACTTCATTCCATAAGAATCCAGTCACGTGTGTGTGAGTGTGTGTGTGTGGTGAGTCAGATGCAGAGAGGAATACGAAGTATTTCATTTGATCCTTTAAGCGTGAACAGACTTCTTTAGTCAAACCCGGACCAGGACCTGGACCAGGACCAGGACCAGCAGCCCCCTGACTCACTTCCACCCGGTCTCGGGCGGTCACTGACTCACTGACCTGTCATCCAGGAACTCCTCGTCCACATGTGCAGCGCTCACATTTCACTGTGATTCAAACCATGCACACATTCTTGGTCTAAATCAGAGAGGGTGTGACGTCGGGTCACGGAGGGTGACATCGCCCCGACACGTACGGGGGCCAAAAGGTACAAATACTTCTTGTAGTACTGGAGTAAATAAAACTTTAAACCTAAAACCTGAACCTGTTTTTGATTTTTATTTTACTTCAGAAGAATCATGAATGAACACACGTGACATGGAGCTGTTTAACACCGTGTACAAGGAATTTGACCCTTGACCTCTGGTCACAGGTAAGATGAGGGGGGGGGGGGGTATTAAGGACTATTTTAACAATACGTTAGAAAACTATCAAGCACTCGTTTCACTCATGCATCGGTTAGAAATACTTTAGGAACCAATGCTGCGCTGCCCTCTAGTGGAGATACTGTAAAACAAGACCCGACTACTGTAATTCGGATGGAAGGTTTAAAAAGAGAAAACTGCGCGCACACTGTTAATGATCAAAACCTCTCTTCCAAACAGGCCCTAACGATGCGTTTGCAGCTAATATGCTAATAAACGGTACGCGGTAAATCGAGCGTGAACACAGTGAGCTCTGAGCTACACATCGTGTAGAAACGTGTTTGTTTACATTGACTGTTCCTGTCGACTTCTTTATGAGCAGTTCTGTTTTTCCACTCCAGGCAAAGCTTGAAGTGGAAAAGAAACATTGTGACGCCCCCC